TAGGCCTACTTTTTGTTTGTCAATTGTTCACCGTCTTATGTCTTTTGTTTTTTTTGAAGTGTATGTATATACCTAGTGTTTTTAATAACGAAAATACAAAATAATCTTCTTTAATATCATGTACGTAATTTGAAGAAAGGAAATATATATGCTGTGAAAACGAGCTCTTTTTATTAACAAACTTTTAATATATATAACACCAGCAAAATGTGTTGCTAAGGGGCGAATAGTTCCACAGTGCGTCACTAGGAATGGTGGACAATGAACTTATCTATGCGTCGTGGGTAGATATTTTATGTGGTTCGCTCTCGAACCACCAGAGAGTGTTATTGGCTGTCATGTTACATAATTCTAATATTAACGTTTTTAACGATATTAGTTTATATATTATCGATGGGGTAAACTTTATCGTTCCATTTCAATAAGAATAATGAACGAAGTTTTGATTACATAAAACTGATTTACAATCTAGATAGAGGACTGTTTTACATATTAACTAGGAACATTTACTGCAGAAATAACGGAACCATATAACTGGATCTCGAAGAATAATCATATTTTACTGGTGAGTAAAATATACGGAGAACTTGTAGCAACGGCCCTAATCAAAGAGGAATCTAACGGCTCATGTCATCTTGGTAAAATGTTTGTAAAAGAAGGTTTCCGTGTTCAAGAGATTGGGAAATTGATGTTAAATATATGTATAGAGACCCTCAAATATTAAAGTTGTATGTATAAACGCAAACCTACAGCTGTATTAATTTTGTAATAACAGACAAAGTATTTGAATAAATAAAATTATTATTCTGTTTCATCGTGACTTGTTATCGTTTGAATACTTGGATAGTGTGATTTACATATATTAGTTTAATTTATAATCTACGTACCCTGAAATGGACTATTTTGCGTGTTAACTTAAAGTATTAGAACTCTAGAAATTTATTCTATGCATCATATTCATATCCATGTTCTATTTTAACTTATAATTATTTATCTTTAAATAAATCTTTTTGGTTCACAGTTTAAACTCCATGACATTTTTCCAGAAACTGTGGAAAAGTTGCTTCTGCATATGGGCAGATCCAAAGAGCACTCAACCATGAATTATTTTGTTTTCTATTTAAAGATTCAACATAACACTTAGAATCTAAATATGGTGAGTTGTGTTTCAATTATTTCTCACTAGAGCTCGAAATTGATAGTCGTCTACAATGCCTATTTACGTGTTTAGTGCCAGGCCCAGCAGGAAGCGGTAAAACTCAGTTTATAAGCCAAGGTTTACCTATCATCATCATTTTATCTATCCTGTTCACGAAAATAGTGTAGGGTTTTACATTAATTTACTAAATTAATGCAAAATATTTCTAATATTTAATTTGTAGAAGGATTGCTTGGATATTTTTAAGGTTACTAACAGTTTGATAAACTAAATGTTTTCAATCATTGACGATATTGTGAGTGAAAGTGGACAAAGCAAACGCGTCTTAACCTTTTTACACGTGGGAGTCCCATTTGAATTTTTGTATCGCACGGATGTATTTCATCAGGATGGTGAAATATGTAATAGTAGTTTCAATAATCAATATATTATCGTGTTCAAGAATACCAGTTTTTAGTTTGTTTGAAGTTAAGCACAAAGCTACACAATAGGTTATCCATGCTGTGTCCACCACGAGTATCGAAATTCTGTTTTTAGTGTTGTAAGTCCGAATACCGCTGAGCCGCTGGTGGGGGAGGGGGGGCACGAAACAAGTGTTTCCGACACGTATAAAATATTTTGAATAAGTCTATCAAGATGCAACACAACAACTCTTTGGTTATTTACTGATTGATTTAAAACCACAAACTCCAGAACAAATATGCCTCAGGACAGTACCATTTCCCGATGATAGAATTGTAGTGTATGAACCCACGTAAGATAAAAGTTCAGTGTAATGATGTGATTACACTGAAGCACAGGGCTTATGTGATTAAATCACTTGTATTCAAATATTTAGCCACTGGAAATATAGGTGTGTGTTTGTTTAAGCCACCATTTTTGATTGATTATATTTCGGACACAGATCACCGTCGGTGGGATTGGGTAACGTGCTACAAACATACATCATGTACTCTGGGTAAGTGGAAACGTCGACTATTCATATCTGTGGAGTGTGGCGAGAATGCTAAAAGAGAACATTTCGACAGTCTATATGAAAGGTAATGAGACATCCTAGGAAGCCTGCTTGACATTCCATGCTACAGTTTGGATAATAATCAACTTCCAGGATCAACTCAATCCTATCTGTATCATACGAGTAAACATTGTTATTATAGTGTGACTTATATTTATTTGTACATGCTAACTGAATTCATTTATTCATCGTAACACTTAGAGTTAAACAACATCAAGGTTTGATCCGCGCATTTATTGAATACGACACGTAAACAGATTAAAGGAACAATTGCCGGAGCTAAAAATGATTTCATCACAAGTATTTGTGAAAGGGCTTTAAATGTTTTAAAGGGTAACATTCCCGTGACGAACATACAAAAACATAAATTGAGAGAGAGTTGGCAGCCATCATCTTCTTCATCGGGATACGGTCCATGTTTTGGACCAGGTTCCAAGAAAGCTTTTGTTTGTTTGTTTGAATTTCGCGCAAAGCTACACGACGGCTATCTGCGCTAGGCAACCCTAATTTAGCAGTGAAAGACTAGAGGAAAGGCAACTACTCATCACCACCCACCGCCAACTCTTGGGCTAGTCTTTTATCACCGAATAGTGGGATTGGCCGTCACATTATAATGTCCCCACGAGTCGAGCGCCCTAACCACCTGACCATGCCGGGCCTGCCAAGAAAGCACCTGTTATGTATAAAAGAAAGTTACTAATACAGAAAGGAGTGTTCCTACTATTTCTTGTAGCTCCTGTTATTTGGTAGAAAAGCAGGACGGATTATTGCAAAAGTTGTTGACATTTTAAGATATGGAACATACAAAACGAATAGTTCTTGTTCTTTAAGAACTGGTACACTAATTTTATGAAAGACCAGTGTATAAAGTATTAAATTCAGTATATCATGAAATACATTCTATCATTCAAAATGATACATTATCCATAGATGATAAAGTGAAGTTGTTATGTCAACAAAACTTTCACCCACAAGCCATGGAATCCATTAAAGTCAAAATGGAGTCTTGAGATTTTAGGTAATGACGACAGCGTTCCTCAGAAATATAAAAGAAAGGTGAAATCCTGCGAAACAAAATCAGCTACTGTACTGATCTATCATAGAATGATCGAGAATAACTAATGATTAGTGGAATATCCATCCCTGACAGTAACCTAATCGACCTGATTAACGATGTACCATGTAAAAATGTTAACCCTACTGGATGGGAAGAATGTGTAGAGCAATTATCCTATTTGAAAATTCCACAAGAGTTAGTGGGAAACAACATCAGGTATGTGAATGACGAAGATAAGGCGACAACTAAAAAAGCAAGACCCAAGCGTGTTGTATCTATATGGACTCATTTTTAGTAAAGTATCACAGTGTTCTTTATTCATTTGTGTCTTGGTTGTCATGACAACCCTTTAAGCTTAGTAATATTTTAAACTGAGTAATAAGTACACTCGCTTGTTGTAACAGAGAAATGATGGTAAACCGAATAAAAGTAAGTGATGTGGACTAACCATATGAAGTAAATAATATGCCACGTGTTACAATATATTTACTAAAATCCTACTCACCCTGCCAGTTATGGTGGAGTAGAGCCTCTATTTAGATCTGTAAAAGTATTAGATAAATCTATCGTTTTAAAACAAGTCAAAGACTGGTTAAGTCATCAGGACATATATGCAGTACTTAAACCATCAAGAAACTGAGCGATCGTTTCAGGTATAGATGAACAATAGCAGGCTGATTTGGCGAATCTCTCTAATCCAAGTCACTGTAATTATCAGTTTATGTAATTTACTCACGTGCTTCGACGTATTTTCTAAACATGCATGGGTTGTTCCGCTCAAGGATAAAGAAATGCGCCACTCACAAATGCTTTCAAACACATTTTAAAACGGGTAAACCCTGTAAACTTCAAACTGATCCTGGAACGGAATTTACTAATCATCTGTTTCAACGTTATCTCGAGAAATAAGACATTCTCTTCTTACTAGACATAATGAGAAAAAAAACTTTATAGTAGAACGAGTTAACAGTACTTTTAAACCTAGACTTTAGCGCTATTTTACACGTACTTACAAGTATATTTCTGTGATCATATCACAGCAGTATAAAAATAAGACCAACGGACGTCAATTACTCTAATCAGTCTGTGATGTGGGGAACTCTTTACGAATCCCCCACCACAATGAACTTGATGAGACAGAAGTCATTCACTTATGTATCAAAGGCACACATCTTTAGAAAAGAGGGAGATGTTTTACTCATTGATTAAAGAGATACATGTTGAAGAAACAGAGAGGTTTTTCATTTATCGATAAACATACATCTTTATAAGAACAAGGTATTTCATTTATCAATAAACATACATCTTTATAAGAACAAAGTATTTCACCTATCGATAAACATACATCTTTATAAGAACAATGTATTTCACCTATCGATAAACATACATCTTTATAAGAACAAGGTTTTTCATTTATCAATAAACATACATCTTTATAAGAACAAGGTATTTCACTTATCGATAAACATACATCTTTATAAGAACAAGGTATTTCACCTATCGATAAACATACATCTTTATAATAACAAGGTACCTTGTTCTTATAAAGATGATAAGCGAAACGCCCTTTTTTTAAAGATGTTCGTTTATCGATAGGTGAAAGACCTTGTTCTTATAAAGATATATGTTTATCGATAACTTAAATACCATGTTCTTATAAAGATGTATGTTTATCGATAGGTGAAATGATTAAATACACGTATCTTGAATAGAAGAAGGTATTTCCAGTTATACCAACCGAAAGACGTAACGGTGGCGTTTCACTCAATTTCAAGTTGCAGAAAACCGTAAAGGAATAACGGTCAGTCAATGTATTCACTTATAAAGATGTTCTCATATGTAACAACAACAAAAACAAACCTAAAATAGAAACTAATGGGTAGGTGGCGTTGTTAGAGAAAAGTGATTTATCATAATCCACCTAGAATCTGCACGTCTGCTACACTCCAGCCTTAAAAAAAACAACAAAAAAAACTGTTACTCATCTGTAGCTATAACAGTGGTAGAGAAGGGGCGGTCAAGTGGTTACGACGTAATACTCGATAAATGTCATATTCCGCTTCCGGTCCGACTTGACATAGTCGTAGGTCCACATTCAACAGAGTTTCGTTTAGTTGAACTCCAATTTTAATTTCTTCACCGCCGTCCTGAAGAATATATATTTGTGTGTTTATATATAAATACATATATGTATATATATACATAAACGTATATAACTTGAATTTCTATTCGATAACATTAGGTTTTCAATCCATAAAGTTTGTTTGGTTTTAAATTTCGTGCAAAGCTACACGCGGGTTATCTGCACTCGCCGTCCCTAATTTAGCAGTGAAAGTCAGCTAGTCATCACCACCCACCGCCAACTCTTGGGGTACTCTTTTACCAACGAATAGTAGGATTGGCCGTCACATTATAACGCCCCCCACGGCTGAAAGAGCGAACAAGTTTGGTGGGACGGGGATTCGAGTCAAGCACCCTAATTACCTGGCCATGCCGGGCCCAATCCATAAAGAAACAATTCATATAAATAGTAAAAGAGAGTGTTATTCTAAACTGGGAGAAACCATTTTTCTGATTTTGAAATGCAAAGTTTTTGATTTGTTTTTGTGTGATATCATATGTAATTTAACTGCCCTTTAATTATAAAGTATACCTTGATTGTGAAGTACGAGTGTTTTCCTTCATAAAATTAAGTAAAATGCGCAATTAAATACCCTTATTAACATTTCACGTAAGTGTAAGTCAAACACGATTAAAAATTCACTGCGAAAAATCCGACTACCTTTAAAATAAAACATATTATTTCATGAAGCTGAAAAAGTGTTATTTGAACCAGAAAATCTAACTCTTGAAACATTTTCAGAATGTGACAGAAATAGGGTTGAAATTCAAGAAGTTTACACCCAAAATTCACCATCTATATCTTACCTTATGCCATTCAACACAGAGAAAGAAGACATACAAGATACGCGCACTTAGAGAAATTAATAATCACACTATCTTCAACAACAGTACATTTTTAATTAATATTAGATTCTCATCAAAGCCATCTATCTACAAAGATGAGAACTAAAAATCAACTGTCTCATCTCTCCATTCAACCTTTATATATTAAGGGTAGCTGTCATTTACTGTCACATCCCTACCGGTAGCATCAAGTACTCAAATAAAAATATTTATTTGATCCCTAACGACTATATTCTAGGAATATTGCTAAGCGTTGATAAATGTACAATATCGTGTAAAGTAATACAAAATACAGTTTAGATCCACTATTACAGAACAACAAGCGTATATAAACATGTTTCAATACCTTCACGTATTCTTCTCAGCACAATTTTTTTTTTAGTAAAAGCTCTTTTATGTATATTTTTGGATGGAAAAAAATATTTTACCTAAAAGACAGAATAGAAAATCCACCTTAAGTAATCGGTCAGAGTAGCAACAAAAACCGAAGTTTTATTATTCGTGAAATTTCCCCGACTGCACTTGCATTTCACTGTTAAACTAATATCTAAGCTCAGTTTTCATTAGCAATTTAGGTTCAAAGTCTTTTCTCCATTTTCAGGTTTTCAGGGATTTTAAAATAAATCTGACATTTTTATATTAAATCTAATTTCTCCAATATGTCAAGGTTTTTACAGCACTGTGGCCACATTGATCACTAGGTATTTTGTTTTGGAAACAAAACATCTGACTGCATTTAATGCTCATCCATTCTTTTCGGAAATGCCCCCCCCCCCCCCAGTGGCACAGCAATATATCTGCTGAGTTACAACTCTAGAAACAGGGTTTCGATACCCGTGGTGGGCAGAACACAGATAGCCCATTGTGTAGCTTTGTGCTTAACTTCAAACAACAATTTTCAGAAATATAGTAAATAACCTAATCATATCTAATCTCTATTAGCCCTATTTGAGAGGTTACATAAAGGATGTATCTGTAATAGTGCTTCTACGTATCTTATTTCGGAGACCAAATTAATAACTCAGTTACATTTAACTTATATTCACCTTATTTAGACATAATGGATAAAGTATATTGCTGTGGAATTGATTACAGACAACATCTTCCTAAGAGAAACACTACTACTCACCTTTCCAAAGTTATTACAAGATAAGTCCAAGTTAGTGAGAGTAATATTCTGTTTCAAAACTCTGCTTAGAGTAGATGTAGTTTTTTCACCTAGTTGGTTTCCACTAAGATTCAGTTTTGTGAGATGCGTGTTCTTCGCCAGTGTCTTACAGATGGTAGCCCCTCCTTCATCTTCCAGCCGATTGAAACCAATATTTAAGGTTTCCAACGGACAGTCTTTTAAAAGCGCTGTGGCAAGAGCTGCTGCCCCACGTGATCCAATGTTATTCCTAAAAATATTTAATTTCCGTAAAGGACAGCTACCAGTTAGTAACTGAACAATGGATTGTGCTCCATTATCTTCCAAGCGATTATAGGAGAGGTCCAGTTCTTCAAGGGCTGGATGGTTCTCAAGTTGAATGAGTAGATACTTAACTTGATTATCAGTTAATCCGTTATCTTTAAGTTGAAGAATCCTAAGAAAATTGAGTTTTGGAAAAGTATCAGACAGGTTAATACAGTCCTCGTGCGTTAGAGAAAACATGCCCCATTGAAAATTCATACCACAATTCCTTACACTAAACGTAAGGCTTAGTTCTTCTAAATTTAACAAGACAGTCAGCACACTTTCCAAATTCAGACGATCGCGAGGAACTTCTTGTCCCGGTTCTCCTTGACGTTTAGAAGTTACCTTAGTAACATCTATAGGCATCAATAGTTGTTTTATTATTAATCGTTTTACATATCCTCGACACCATGACAGAACTTTTGTCAAATCAGTATAAGTGTTTGAGCCGGGCAAGAAGTTTTCAATCAATTCCTGTAGATGGCGCTCGACAAACATTCTCTTCCAACATGCTCCATACTTCTCTACATCGCATATTTTCCACCGTGCCAGGCAACATCGTTTCCAGTAGAGCTGGTCGGGTATTACAGGGATGGTGACTTCAGGGGGTAAATCAACAGGTATTTTCTTAAGAATGGAAGTACGATCTTTTGGTTTTAACTTGTCCAAACAAATCGTTTTGGCTAGCTCTGAAACGAAGTCATATACTTAGGTAGATTAAATGATGCAACTAAAAAGTGTTTGAATAATTTACTACATAAGAAATAAGCATCGAAAGCGTGTAGCATATATCTTATTCTTGGCAAATTGTTAAACGGTATTTTGATATTTCAATCTTGAGTTGTTTGCTTGTTTTATAATTTTTTACCCGAGGCTAAGCAAAGGAAATGAGTACTTAACTCTCCCTATTTTTGAAATAAAAGATTAGCTAGTGACAGCATCGGCTGCTTAATTCTTCTTTAATTGAGTGGTAGAATTTGACTATTACTCTTATAGCACACCCAAGGTTCCAAAGTGCGAAGCACGTTCTTGTTCTTATAGCAACGAGTTTCGAACCACGGTCACTCTAATTCACAGACCGGGTATATTAACCTATCTTTGCTCTGTCCACCATGAGGAATCGAACCTCGGATTTTAGCGTTGTAAGTCCGTAAATTTACCGCTTACACACTTGGCGACTTGTTTTTGTCTATTTGTAGTTAAGCACAAAGCTACACAATGGGCCATCTGTGCTCTGCCTACCACGAGTATCGAAACCCGGATTCTAGCGTTATAATTTCACAGACATACCGCTGTGCCACTGGGGGGCCACTTGGGAATTACAGAAAATGAACTTGTTTAAAGGAAACTATAATTTGATGGCATACAATCAAATGTTGCATTTTTTTTATAAAATAATATTTGATCTAATATCCCATCAAATGTGACGAATTAGATAATTATTAACAAATAAAATAACACTGACTGAACAAAGTTATATAAAATCAAGACATATACTACTGTTTCAGTGGATGTGCTCTACTGGACCCTTACTTCACATACCAAATTTCAAGGCAATCCATTAAGAAATATACGAGATATAAAATCTCCATTTTGATTGAATTTCTTCTATTTTTTTTTCTTCGCACTGAAACTACGGGAACACTATTTGATAGAAAGGCATACTTAATTTTTATGGATTTAATTTTTCTAAGTTTGATAAAGTATTAGACCTCTACAACCTACAATTAAGTGTCAAATTTAGTCTAAATATAAGCCACAAGTGCAAAGTTATTCAACAGAAACCGCTAAATTTTGACCAACATTTTAGCGCACGCCTTCGCAAAACGTCACGTGAGCTATCGGTCTAAGACTTTTACTACAGCTTCACCTAAGAACAAAAGTGGACCGTTTTTAGTTTTTGTCATTCGAATTAAGCAAAACTATAAGGTGAAAGTACGTGAAGTTATATAAGTATTGGTTAGGCCAAGCAAACTAGATTAGCAGTTTCTAGCTCAAGTTTTCAAAATAATTATAGGGGTAGACGGTTATTATTTATTGCCAACTTTTAAGCACAAGTTTGCTAAATTTTGTGAAATTCTCCTAATTAAAGAGCGTTTAGCATCACATGATATTAGCTTTTTAAAATTCCCTAACTTTTCCAGGTTATTGGCCAACCTGTAATTATACGCCAAGAATTGCATAGGAGTCAGTGACTTTACTTTGATTTAACTTTCATTTTTTTAACAATAATAAAGAAACAAAAGGTATAGTTTGAAAAAAATGTGAAAGTTTAGAGATAGACACTACTATTTATACTTACCGACAAAGTTTTCAATAATTTTCTCAAGACTAAGACTAACCAAACACGGGATATTTGGAATGGCCCAGTTGGGGTTTTCTGGGTATGTTCTACGAAGATAATTAACAGCTACTTTTAATGGTATAATGTCTGAAGAAGCAGTGGTTATTTCTTCCATCTTCGATGTTGACCGCTCTGTGATGGAATGCTGTGAATACAGGCGTATATTACAACTATGAAGAACTGAATTACAGTAAATCTGCAAGTACCTGTGCACGTCAATTTGAATGATACTTTCTAGTCTTGTTGTCTCGTCAGAAAGAGATAATTTCTAGATCATTAGTATTGTTTTAATTATCCTTAGCCTGTATATCCGAATATCGATGAGAGCAAATTATGTTTTCATTACGTCTTAGATGATACAGATCTGTAGTTAGTGCTGGCTGATTAGGACAGGAGTCACTGAAGTGTGATGTATCTTCTAAACCATTACTTGACAAAAGTCTGCCTGTGTGTTTGTCTTGCTTAGAACTGGGGATCAGCCAGGCTGATTGTCACCAAACCTGGTATGTACCCTTATGGACTCCAGGAAGTGACAAAGTGGAGTCGACGTTCGGATCTGACCTTCTATGTCATTCCTTGTGGCCCTTTTGACTTTCTCGTGCGTTCAATGGGTACATCAGCTGAAAAGCTTTAGTTTTTAAACACACCATAAAATTATTTATTTAGTTTCATTGCGAAACAAAAGCTGTACGTTAAGTATTTCAACTAAATCTAACATTCTCGTTTTCTTCACATTAAAAATGAGGTAATGTATGGTCTAAAATGAAAAGCATTAATACACATCAGATAACAAAGTCTATGCCATGCCCACCTGAAAAAATAAACCAAACGAAAATACAAATAGTAATGAGTTTATCGCTTAATGTGAGCCAAGATTTTCAGTTTTGACATACACACACACATATCCTAAAGTTACAATTTACCGAAGTTTTGTCTTTAGACGAAACGTTCGTAACAAGACTAGTTTAATACTTCACAATAATTATGCTATTTGTGTAAAAGATATTCTAACTGAACAGTTAATCTCGTCTTACTATCAACCATTTTTTATAGTCTCACATTAGACAAAGCTAGAATTTATTGGTACATCTAAGTTAGGACTAATAGGAACAGTTGACAACGAAATTCAACCCACTTCTATTATAGTTTTAGTATTTAATAACACTATACGTATCTCAGTTTAATGTTACTGAATTGTATCTATTGTTTACATTTCTAGTTAAACTATTCAATACTGTAAACAAATGAACAATAATTTTGGCAAACCATAGCACGTCCTCGTGTTTAGGCCTAATCCTTCCCACTAAATGTACGTATTCCACTATTAGTAATAGTTGTACTACTATGATAGTATAAGTACATTACGACTACGAGTACCAGTGACATAAATAAACGAAAATTTGGCTAAGCTCGTGCTTAGCAAATCGAAATAAAAAGGCAGTAGATTATTAAAACTTAACGTATACGTAGTTCAGTTCTGTGTTATAGTATTATAAATATTAGTTTTTTCATACCGTGTTTTGTATTTCTGACATGGTTCAGAACTAACAAATATACCATTTAGTCTGCCTCTAGGCGAGCAAATGCTACTTGACGCATATCTCGTTGCCATGACGACTGTTTTTGTTGGTAACCGTGCTGTGGCGTTTTAAATAATCATAATTTATATTAACAACAGTGTATTTTTAATTCTATTAGCTCAAAAAAATTCTCACTCTTCATATTTAATTATCATCTGCATTTACAGAAAAATTAAGTTTGGCTATAACAAGTGGTAAGTTCAACTTACGACAGAAATTAGGCCTCTGTAAAATATGTACTGTTAAGAATCCAATAGATTATGGAATAATGAAGTACAAAATAATTTCTATAGCGAAAATAGAGCATAAATATTTTACACAAGAAACAACATTCAGAAAGCATTTGTAAAATCTTTACTGAACAGATATATTTTTCACTTTTTTCTTTTTTAATCAGCTTCAACCCGACAGTGGAGATGTGTTTCTTGCAATTTTGTTTGTTTGTTTATAGTTAAGCACAAAGCTACACAATGGGCTATCTTTTCTGTGCCCACTGCGGTTATTGAAATCCGGTTACAAGCCTTCAGACTTATAACTGAGGAGGCGTGTTTCACATGGATAAAATCCTTTATGAAGACTGCAATAAAAATGCGAATATATTAAGGATACTACTACAACAAAGAAAATATAAGATGTAACTTATTTATTTCTTTAATATACAACCTAGGTCGGTGTAGTTGTAATTCTAATATATCATATACAAAATCTTCATGTCCGCAAAACCTTAGATTTCTAGACGAAGAGGTTCAGGTGTGAGAAATATAGTTTTTACGTGAAAAAATCAACGTAATTCAAAGTTCTATCTTTTGCCGAACTCGATAAACATATTAGTTTTAGACAGAGATGTAGTCAAAACCGAGTCTGTCGAGACCAAGGTCAAGATATTTTTATGCGGCTAAAAATTCAAAAAGTAAATTTATTATTATTGTTTAAGCTCCTATTTTTAATCAGAAATGTTATTTAGATTGTAAGGTTCGTCGCATGAAAAATATATTGATCTCCATCTTGGTTTCGCCCATCAGGTCTTGACAGCATCTCTGGTTGTAGGTAGAGTTAGCTTGCAGTATTCCAGCGGTAAGTCTGGGCATATAATGCTGAAAACCAGGTTTCGATATCCATGATGGGCAAAACACAGATAACCCATCGTGTTGCTTTGTGGTTAATACCAAATAAGCCCTAGTTTGCAATTTAGTAAAATGTTTTCCATAATTTACTAACGAAAATTGTTGACAAACTTGCTAGTATAGACTCATCGTCTCGTGCTAACTGTAGCTTGTTTAGCAGTTGTTAAACGAGGTATAACCGAAGTGTACTGTTTACGTTTAGTCCTTGAACATCGAGAAAACAGTTACGAAAATATAAAATATATGCTTAAGAAGCTGTTGCACGATTTTATTATTTTTACTTGTAGATACAAGTTGGTAAGTATTTTTGTTGAATTTTTTTAGTAAATCAAACGATCGTTTTCGTTTGACTCGAAGTGACAATTAAAAGGTTTATTAGTGTTGAAAAAATAAGCACTACCACTCGTTATATTTCCCATCCACGTATAATAACGTTTATATTATATACCTTATGATTTTCTAACGTTCAAGTGGATGTCTTGGTTTATTTATTAATTTTTGTATAATTGGAATTTTCAGCATGAAAGTATTTTAATCGTGTTAAGGATATTGTTAAGGAACCACAGCACTCTATCAAGCGAAAACTTCACATGTACTAGTGTTAGAGATAGCTTTTTTTTTCAAATTATAGAGAAACCTCAACTGACATCAGAGAACACATTTTGTGTTGAATATCAGTTGAAGGTAATGTGTTACAAGGTTTAAATTCTGTGATTAAAAATTAGTTGGTAAACTTGTTAGTGAAATAAATTATGGTCATCTACACATATTGCTTAATTATTTCGTCATGTACTATCACAGTGAAAACATATCAATACGCTAAATGTTTACAACAGAAGTCGTGTCATTCTTTCTGCTAAAAAGAAATCACTGTTTTTTTCATTTCTTTTTTAAAATGTCGTCCAGTGCATGGTCGTTCCTTCAGAGCTAGATAAAGGTGGTCGTCTTTTTTCCTCTCTGATATCAATTTGAGGAACCCGAAGAGCAGACATTGACGTTCGACTAACATCATTGACCATTGCTGAGTCAGGAGACATCTTGATCATGTTTCTCCTGGCGTTATTCACACCATAAGATAAGCCAGAGTCTAATGGAAGACACTGGACGCAGCCCATGTTTACTAGTTGACAGTGGACAAGATCTGCGTCCACAAGTGGACAATCATCAGTATTTTTTGAGATGACAATAGCAGGATGATCACTCCGTATTCGAAGAGTGTGTACTTTTTGTACTAACTTATTTTCAATATTGTAGAATTCCTGGTGTTCTCCGTTTTCACTGCTGTTTAATGATCTTAACGATATCATTGAATTGTCATCTGATTCGCTAGATAATGCGCAACTTGTTGAACTGGTTTCATCCAAACTCATTCGTTTATGTTGATCAAGTGAAGACTGGTGTTGAGGAAACTCCTTCTCGGAACTCAAATCTGAGTCGGTTGAAAACTCTTGAGCGTTTTTTGTTTTTTCATGAAAAGGATTATTACCAATTTTCAAGATTAAAGGTTTTTTCTTGACGGAAACCATATTGTCTTTAATGGCCTGAAGAGTGGTGTAAGGCTGGTTTTGTATATGTTTTGTGCCATTTCCTATACAGACATCATTTGAAGCTGTGAAATCGTACATTAGACTTCGTGGCGAGGTGCTCCTTTTAAATCTTAAAGCCTTTGAAGAAGGTTGGTCCGAAGAATATCGTTCAATTACTGAATCCCGGCGGCTGGTAGGGTGAGCTACTTGTTGTTCCACAATTTGCAGCTGGGGCTTCATCGAAGTTTCGATCCAGGTCTGCAACACAAGTTAAAAATGTAGTGAAATCTTTTAACTAAAATTTGATTAAAGTGACTTAAACTTATTTCCTGGCTATTATTAACCTGTACATTATTTGGACTTGTTTCATAGTGAAAAGAATAATATAAACAACAACAGTGCTTGAATAAAACCGTGACACATTATAATAAGCCAATATTGATTTAAACTGTACAACCACAACCGTCGAACAGAATTTATGATAAAAAAAAAACTTTTCTGCACTATTCCCACTTCTGTTATGGCTAATTACATGATGTCTTGTAATTTCACCGGTTTTTCACTTAATTTTCGAAGTAGTAGTTTCTGTCATTCTTATAAAAAAGCCTGTGACATTTAAATAACATCGATATTCTTAGTAATGCAATATATTAAGTGAAAAATGTTTCCGAAACTTGTTATTTAAGAAAATTGCACATAATATATATATATATATATATGTGTGTGCGTGTGTGTGTTGCAGTTCTAATGCTTTACCTATGACATTTGTGGAATACTCAGAACACGCACGCGATGACCATGCCCAAAATAGACAGATGATCTACTTTAATGATAGATAACGAGTTTGAATAAACAGATCCACCTGGCACCGTAAAGCTGGTCTCT